TCTCTCTCTCTCTCTCTTTCAAATGTCAAGCTTCATCAGGCCCAGGCTGGGGACTGACCTGAATGGGAAAAAATTGTAACTCACTACCAGATTACATACCAGATCCTGGGCTCTTGCCTAATCTACCTGTTATTATTTACCTTTTAATTTTCAGTTAGCTGTTCACTTATTCTGTCTAGGTTTTATAGTTTCATTCAGTGAGATTAACAAGGTAGAGTATGCTTATTCCATTTTACGCAGAACAGAAACTCCTCAGTCTCACTTACTATCTGTTTTAGAATGTAATGACAGCTTGAATCTATTTTGTATTTTAAACATGGTGTCTATATCCTGTCATTTTTTCCGACATATATGTGATCTTGCCGTGTATAATAGTGCAAGCCCTGCTGAGGAGATGATGCTTCATTAAATGTAGAAGGAAATAGGAACATTAATTTTTCTTTTAGATTAAAGTATTGTTTTCATGAACTCTAATTTTCCAAAATTATATTACATTTGAAAAACTGTTTTCCTGTTTTCAATTTAATCTGTTTTCTGCCTGAGGATTTCTGGCTTGCTTTTCACTGAGGAAATGTTTTGGGGTTTATTCATGTTAACCTTTTTAAAATGACTTATTTCAATAATTAGGTTATTGGTATGAGATAACATACTTCATATTAGTGGACTCTTGGCACTCACTTGTTGCAGACACTGTGCAAGAATTTTGGAGATGTTTTGAAGTATCTTCACTTTCTGGATTGATACATGAAGGTGATTTTATTATATAAGTGTGGCTGATTTCAGCTTCTTTACCTGGTAAGCAACAAGATATAGGATTATTTTTTTCATCAGTGAATGGTGCTTAGAGAACAAGCCTTTTTCTGGATATAGGTCCAAAATGAAGGAATTGACTATGAAAAGATGCCTTGAAATTGCTGTTGTTGATCAACTTCTTACAGGCAACCCAGTCACTGATATTTCTGTCAAAAACTGAACTAGAAAGTATTTCCAGGGACTGACGGATAGTAGTAACTGAAAGCAGAACATGTGTCTTATCTATTTGGGCTGCTATAACAAAATGCCAAGACTGGATGGCTTATAAAGAATGAATTTATTTCTCACAGTTCTAGAGGCTAGAAGTCCAAGATCGGGGTGCATCATGGTTGGGTGAGGGCCCTCCTCCAGGTCTAAGACTTTCCGTTGCATTCTCACGTGGTAGAAGGGGTTAGGGATCTTTCTGAAGCCTCTTTTAAGGCTCTAATCCCTTTCATGAGGGTTCTACCCTCTTAAGCACTTCTCAAAGGCCTCACTTACTAATAATACCATCGCCTTTAGGGGTTAGGATTTCAACATGAATTCTGGGAGGATACATACATTTAGATCATAGCAGCATGTAAGTGAGTAATAAAACAAAAATTGATTGAAAGTCTTCTAAGTTTTATATCCATTTCAGTTTTACTGTTGGTTGGTATTTATAAAGTTGGGGTGAAATTGAAACCATTGGCAGAAATGAAAATTTTGTTGCTGTTCTTATAAATAGATATTCTTATTTGTTGTTTCTTCATTGAATTTCTTTCTGATTAAGGCTTCTATTTTTAACATAAAAAATATGATACTGAAAAATTTGTAACTACTGTGGTTACGAATATAGAGAAAAATAGGTGCACTGACGGGACAAACATTTTATTTATTAAAGACCTATAAGTTTTTTTTTTGTAATTCATGGTGTTCAGTTAGATATTAATATACTCAAGTAATTGTGTGAAAATGTACTATTTTATAAAATTCAAGGAAAGAGAAAAGATACTTCTTTTTACCTCTTTGTTCAAATATTGTCTGAAAAGCTTTTTTCTGAGGATGTACCTTTATTGTGTGAGGTCAGGCACGGTGTATCTTTTATGTTTGCCTAATGGTCATTTCCATATAGGAAGTATAAAATGGACAGGATATCTACTTACCTGTGTGCTCTTACTTGCATGTATCCGTCCTTTGTTTTGAAAATCAAAATCCTCACTATCATGTTAAAATTCACAATTCCATTTCTGAGTCCTTTAAAGATGGAAATGCAATCAGTAATGGTACAGAATAGTTAGGGGGCACAGTTAGAAAAATACATTTTAAATCCTTCGGTCTCAGTTGGGAAGCCTTTTTTTACAAAGGCGTGTGCTGCAAGGACTTGCTGATCGTTTTGTGCATCTACGACACCTCATGCTTACCTCCGTCACAGCACCTGCTGTCCTCTGTTGTAGTTGTTGGTTTTTGTTTTTCTCAGGTGCATCAGTGCTTAAGGCCTAGTGGTGCCTCAAAAATAGGGAGCACTGACTAAACATTTAACTTAACTAACTGGCTGTAGACGTGGGGAGTCTGGTGTGGGGCCTGTTGGAAAAAAGAGAAAAGTGGTTACTGATTAAGAATGCTTAAGATCTAGAGTTCAGAAAGTAATTTAAATACTAGTAGTCGTTGAGTTTCTGGGCTGTTTAAGTATCTTCTTGTATGTCTTTTTCTAAATTGCCTTCTTAGGATGATAAGACTAATCTATTTATTTGTTGGGGTTCATATTTTTCTAACTCTCCATTGCTTTATTTTCAGTTGTTTTTTTCCTGTGTGCTGAAATGTGACTTCTTGTGCTTCTCTCTCACTGAACAAGATGTTTTCATTATTGTTTGCTTTCAGAACCTGTGTGTGTCTTCATATTTGCAGGTATACAGTCACTCTGTCAAAGTGTCTTATATTCTAAATAAATCACATACACCTTGGAGGGTCCTCTGTGATAAATAATTCTTTATACTGTACTATTCTCATTTTTTCTAAACTTAAGTAAGAGAGCAGCTGGGTGAGAGTGAAGTGAAATAGGACTAATTTTCATAATTCCCTCTCCAGAATAGTTTGATGGCAAACTGATTACTTGACTGTTCAACCTGAAGAATATTAAGGGTAAGAAGCCTTGTGAATATTTGTATACGTATTAAAAACTTTAATGACACTTTTAAGTACCACCTAGGAAATTGTGGTTGTAGCATTCCTTAAACATGACCTCTTGTTTTTGCTGGAGTTGCTATATATTATGTATAGCATGTAGTGTTTTTATCTATACAAAGTAGAAAATATACCTATATAAAGTAGAAAATAAGATGCAAAAATCCTAGGGCTGTTTTCTTTTTGAGTCCTAGGTTTTGTATCTTGCGTCAACATTTTTATTTCCAGATAAACGGGAATCTTGATGAATTTTATCAGTATAGAATAAAGAACTTATTTATTTTTGTATAAGATCTACTTGAACTGTTTGACAATTTAAATTTTGTAAACTATTCATACTGTTCTTTCTATATGTGATTATTCTTTGAAATACAGGAGTTTTAAAATTTTGTTTTTTTAATAATGAGAATCTATGAGTAATGAGAGTCATACAGATTTATTAATCTTGAATCCTGTGATATACCTGGAATCCATTTAGGGTGGGGAGGTATTCATGTGTGTGTGCACACTCGCACCCACGCTGATTGTTGAGTACTTCTCTGTGCTAGTCTGGGTGCTGAAAACTTTGAGTGGATTATGTAGTTATTTAATCCTTATAATCACTGAAATGGTTACCACTACTCCATTTTATAGATGGGAAAACAAGCTTAAAGAATTTGTCACACGACTAGTTAAGTGGCCAACTAGTGATATTTGAACCCTGTTCTTTTCTAAAACCTGTGCTAAAGGGATCTTCCTGTCTATACTAAAGAGTGTTAGAAGTAAAGCTCCAGCACCAAACATACCAGTGAAGGCTATTCTAAACAAAAACTTGTCAAAATAATTCATTTGCAGCAAAGTCTGCTTACAAAGTCTGATAAAATTGTTATATTGTGGAAATCAGGAAGGAAAAAAATTTTTGCGAGCATTCCGAATGAGATTTAAAAAATTAGCAGTGACACAGAAGCAGGAGTCAATTGATTATGTAGCAAAGAAACTGGAAGGGAAATAACCATCAAGCTGAAGGAGTTAATTGCCTGAACCTCACTCTGAAGTGAACAAGTTGAAAGCACTAGAGCAAATATCCATGATCGTTTAAGCCAGATTGATAAAATAAATGTAGATAAATCAACAAAATCACACAGTCTTCAGGGGAATTTTAAGGAAACTCGAGGACAGCATTGCAGAACCATTGACTCAGCTATCTAGTAAGTAGCTGTCGTGCCATAGTACAGGTTGAATACAAATGTACATGGATGCCTATACTTAAGAAAGCTTGAGGGGCCCTCTGCAGTGAGAGACTGAGCCACATATCCAAAATAGGCAGGCAGTCTTCTATGGTCTTTAATAAGACTGACAAGCTTTTTCTGAAAAAGGCCAGATTGTAATTATCAAAGGGCTTTGCGAAGTATATAATTTTTGTGGTAATTATCCAGCTTTGCCACTGTAGTGCAAAAGCAGCCATAAAGGAATGACCATGGCTGTTCCTCAACAAAACTTTATTTACAGAAACGCTCAGCCAGTTTTTCGACCACTGGCCTATAATAGTGGAGAGTATCCCTCCCTAGACATCAACAGGAAGTAGCCTTGTCTATGGTTTCTCCCGGGGAAAATGAAAATTACTTTCTTAGAGGGAGTATCAGATTTTTGAGCAGTTAATTGGTAGGCACTTAATGATTTTATTTAAGACGGGGATTGGGATGGAAGATCCTGCATTCATAGTAATGGTAAACATTTGAATCCTTGTTATTGCTAGACAGTCATAAACACATTTTCCTGATACCAGTGCCCAAGTCATGAATCACTGAAGTACACCATACACCAAAGTACCTTATTGAATGCTCTCCCTTTTTTAAATTGAATTTTTTGCACAGAGGGTTGATTGGGGACTAGTTTATCTTGCTTGGATAGAGGATTAGAAATAAAGGATAAAGAGAAGTAGACTATCTGAGAGAGGTCCTGAGAATTGCTGGATTCTTGAAGACCTTAGCCATATGAATCAATATAGTATTTAGCACCTTCTTGAAGTGTACTTTGTCCTTGGCTTGAATATGTGCAGCATAGCTCTTTCCCCGGTATCCCTTTCATTCAACCCTGGCTCTCATTTATCATATCATTGCCCTTCTGTGATGTAGTCTGTAATGGAAGGATTGAGTTTGGAAATGAGGGAACTAGAGTTCAACTTCCTCGTGGCCATTCATATGTCCTTCTTCTTTTTTCTTTGTACCAGAAGGATCTGATTGTACCCTTTTGACAAAATATTAGTAGACTTGATCAATTTAGTTGTTATTCTGAAATATTGACTTGTATTTTATTTTTGTCTTGTGTTTACCTTTCTCTTCCAATTTTGTCTAGGGAAACAAACTGGGCAAGCAACAATTTTATTACTCTTCCCAATTGTTCTGTTCTTACTAGCAGTAATAGTAATGATAATAACAGCCATTTGTTGCATGGCTTTGGAGCTAGGATTTGAATCTCAGTCTGTTGAATTCTAATATTCGTAGTCTTAACTAGGATTCGACATCTTTAGGTACCGTGGGCTTGCATGAAGGACAGTAAAAGGAAGCAAGCAGAGGGAGTTTTGAAGTGAACTGGAAAGGAAAGGTGATCTGTTTTGTAGTACGTGGAAGGAAACAGACTTTGGAAGAGAAAAAGATGAAGAGAAAGGAAGAAGGATAGGAATTTTAAACAGCCAGCCAAGGCTAAAAAGTTAGTTTCTATTCCCAGGAACCTCTGGCCCCTTCTCTGATTCCTTGAAGCTTGAAGGGCCCTAGCAGTTACTGCAGTAGAAGATACATTGTTAGCATCCCAGGTATAACTTGAAACAGTTTTCTTTCATAGAGGGTGGGGGTTACATCCGAGAGCTGTGCTGTCTAGTAGAGTATACTAACCAGTTGACACATTGGACTGCTTTTAAATCAATTAAAATTTAAATAAAAATTAAGGTCGTCACTCCCACTAGCTACATTTCAAGTGCTTGATAGAGCAATTCAGTATTGAGCAACACTATTCTAGAGAACTGAACTGTCTTACACAGCACTGTTACTTGAGTGCACTGTAATGCTGGCTTAGGACTTTTCCATGTATTCCAGGGTTGGTGAAGGAAAATGAGTTTTGAATTCCTGAAAACTGGTTGGTGCCAATGCTTTTTTTCACTCCAAAATCAAAGTTGATGGCTTTTATGATAAATACAATTTTTATATTGGGTCGTTCTTCCCAAACTCCTTTATGTATGTATTCAGAATAGTATTTCTGACACATGAGGAACAATATATAATGAATTAGAAAAGGGCAGCCTGGAAGATAGAAGTACTTCAAGATAAGATAGGAGTAAGAAACTTTTTTTAAAAAGATATCTTAACCTGGAAAGGTAGAGAGCCTGGGAAGAGACAGTAAAGATTGAAATTTGTAAATTAAAATCATCTGAAAAGTAAACAACTTACCTAAACTCTAGAATGAACGTGTATTCTTTTAAATTTGAAGTAAACTAAAATTAAAAGAAATTTTGATTCGACTTTAAGATAGTTAACTTAAACAATTTATGAGTAGAACCAATAAGTAATCTAGGTCGAATATGACTTATGATTATAGAGTCATAAGTAGTTAACATTGTGAAATTGAATTATATCTAACTTTTCAGGTAACCATAAGGAAGGATAGTCCGGCCCACCTACAGGTTACCTCTTAGGTCTTTTATTGACCACAAATTACTGGCTAGAACCAGGAGTCTGTATTGTATTCCGGTGCTTCTATTACTGGAAATTCGCAGCAAAACTAGTATTAAAAACCCTGGAGTTTTAGATTTAAAATTTGAGTCTAGGCAGATAAAACAGGTAAACATGAACAAGTTATGAATTTGTAAGTTGTTGAACTGAAACTTGTGACTTTTATCTAGTGAAGTGCTAAGACCCTTTCATTTTGAATGGTAAAGTGGCATAATTGCTTTTAGGTATAGAAACAGTTTAATACATGATATAGTCCAGAAGAAGCACACACTTCTAAAAAAATTAGAAACACTTTAAATAGTTTTTTAAGTGTATTTCTAATATATGAGAAAATGCAGTCTGTAACTTGATTGAGGTCTCAGTTTCTCAGTGATAAACTGTTATTACCTACTTCATTGCATGAGTTAAAATAGAGAAGACAGTATTTATTGTGAAATATTAATTATAAATTATACTTGACACATTAATATATAAATACAAGCTTAATATTTATCCTTCAGGGAGGAAATGTGAAAATAGCATAGATTTAGACTATCCAATAGGACGTAAATTATTCAGCTGCATAAAGGGATGGTTATATTACATCTTCTGAGAACTTACTAGGCTTTTAAATGTTGTGTTAATTTTGAAGTTGACATTTTATTACATGGAATTAACTCCAATTCAAATACTTTTTTATTCTCAGATTTTTAGGATAATTGGGAAATGGTATGGTACAAATGTCCCCACATAAAGAATTGCACTCAGTTAATAGCTCATGCGGGAGCATAACATGACTGAAATCAGGCAGCTTGGGAAATTGTCTAAAGCAGTGTCTCTCAGGCCTAACTGCATGGGAGTCTTGTACAGATCTTGATAAAATGCAGATTCTTGCTCACTAGCTCTAGGGTGGGGCCTGTGCTATCTTGCTTTTGTAGCAAGTTCCCAGGTGATATTGATACCGCCCTTCTGAGTAAATACTGAGAAGGATAGTAACCTATGACTGTCTGAATATTTTAAAGTAATCTTCTATTCTCAGCAATTCCATGGTTCTAGTTGCTCGAGTCAATACTTCAGAATTATCCTGGACTCTTGCTCTCTCACACTTACCCCATATTCAATCTGTCAGCAAGTCCTGATGGCTGCATTTTGAAAACTCTGCTGGAACCTGAGCACTTTTCATCACCCTTGCTACTGCTCTAGTAAAGCCACTGTCATCCCCCCTCTGGATTACTGCGGTAGTCTCCCTGCTGGCCTCTGCTTTTCCCTTTGCTGCCTCTGCTTAAAACCCACTCTTGGTCCATCTCACTCAAAGAAGCCAGCGTATCTGCTTTAGCCTATAAGGTGTTACATGATACCTAAATAGCACTAGAACTAAAACAGATGTTGCAAATGTAGGCTGAGTGGGAATTTTTGTTTTTGACATTCTACTATAATTATGGCAGACTATAATTGAATCAATTTTAAAAAAAAGTTACTCCAGTCCTGACTCATTTTGAATTTTTAACCTACTAAAACCTTTAAATCATTCTTGTATGTGTTAGTTTCTTATTTCCTGCTTGGATTTTGAACCAAAACATGGACCTTTGCATTTCTCCTTATTTAACCTACTAGAGAATTTTCCTAGGCAATATGTACCTTTAATGTGGAAACTAGCATGTGTACATTATTTAACAAAGTAATAGAAAAATCACTTCGTGTACACATGGAAGAATCATAGTGGATGAAATTGGGGGTCTCTTGTGCCTAGATAGTCGAAAATATATTTGAATAGTTCATTGCTGTCACTTGTCTTCCATCAATTCAAGAAGGAATTCTAGGAGTTGATTTAAAAAAATAATTTTACCTCATAAATTTGTTCCCCTTTACTAACAAACTAACTTTCTTTCCTCTGTTTCTCATTTTGCCTCTTGTAATAGTCATTTTCCTAGTCTTCTAGGCCAGAATAATCTTTTACTCCTTCCCCATATTTATTTAGTCACCAGATCTCAGAAATTCTTCAGCTCTGTAATTTCTTTCTTTTCTATTCACTTTACAACCAATTACTTTAGCTATGCAAACATCTCTGCTTCTACTCTCTCCCTACTGTAATCCATTCTGTGCTTTGTGGGCAGATCATTCTTTTAAAAGGTCCATTTGCATCACTTTTATCATGTCAGTCTTCTTTAGAGGAATCTGTAAGATTGAATCTAAACTTCTCAGTCAATCATTCGTGGTGCATCTGTAATTTAGCCCTATTTGATTTGTATTGCTCTTGTTACCCTCTCTGTAATCTTTCAGATGAATTTCTTGGCTTACATCCCATCCTTCCTCAGTACATACACAAAGTTGCACAATCCCCCACTTAACTCTTCTTCTTTGTCAGATTGGCTGCCATTTTATTCCTTCATACTGTGTTGCTCCTTAAATGCACTAAGCTCCTTAACACACATAACCTATGATAGTCAATGAAAACCCCAGTCCAAATTGCCCTCTTTTCTCTAATCTCCGATTGTGTTTATGTCTGTACCACAAAGTTTATCATTAGTCTTTGTTGCTTAATACTTTTATAAAGTTTCACAATCAGTAAGACTGTGTGCTTGGTGGCAAGGAGTATAAAGAGTACTGGATTCTCCGAAAAATGTACTGATTTGGCCTGTATTGTGTTCTTTTACATGTAAAGTACTTCTTACAGCTCAAGTTTTTCTTTTATTTTTTTAACATATATATATATATATATATATACACATACATATATGTGTATATATATTACTGGGACAAGGCAAATATAAAAATTCTCTATTATAATTCATCCTATAGGAAACCGTTTTTCAAGGAGAAATGAAGAAGAAAACTCTATATACCCTAAATGTGGGAGATGAGGAGTATGAAGATATGGAAGGTAACTTCTTTTTTATAAAGCTTGTGTATTGAAAGCAAAATTTAGTGTTTCCAAACTGTTTGTATACATTTCAGAATAACACAAGGAGTTTTTTTGTATTTGCATATTTTTTGTTCTTGAAATCTGAAATAATCTTCCTGAATTAGAAATGCACACTTTTTTGCACCCCCTCTTCTCATGTCTTATGTTCAATCTGTCCAGGTTTTTAATTTGTTGGGCTCTTTTCTTCTTACATTTTTGCTCCCTTCTGATTAGGAATGACGTATTTTTTCTGTTTTTATTGTTACTGTCCTCTGTTTTACTTCATCCCTTTTCTTCTTTCTGAAAAAAATCTTAAGTTCCTTTAGTGAAAGTCTATTGGTAGTAAACTCTTAAGTTTTTGTAATTTTTTTCTCTTCAAAACTATTTAAAGATAGATAAATAATTCTGGATTGATTTTTTTTTTTTGTCTCTTAGCTTTGAAGATATTATTTAGTCATTTTCTGGTTTTCTTATTTGCTGTCAAGAAATGTGTTTTTAGCCTAATTGTCATTCCCTTGTAGATGATCTATCTTTTCCCTCTTTCTGCTTTTAAGATCTTATTTTCATCTTTGATGTTGTACAGTTTTGCTACATTTTTTCTAGACATGGATTACTTTCATTTCTCCTGTTTACCATGCCTTCTTGGTTGGATCATGTTTTTTGTTTGTTTTTGTTTGTTTATCGTTTTCCAGCCATTACTGTTTTAACTATTTCCTCCCCTTTATTCTCTTCTTCTGGACTTCAATTAATATGTTAGATTTTGTTCTGACCTCATTTCCTGAACTGTCTTTCACAGGTTGCATTTCCTTCTGTGTCTCTTAAAGTCTAGATAACTTCTTCAAGTCTTTCTTCCAGTTAATAAACATTCCTTTCTTCCAGGTCTAATCTGCTGTTAAGTCATTCTGTGTAGAGTTTGAAAGTTCTGATATTTGAAGCCAGTGGATGTCTAAATAAATTAATAATAAATAAATATAACATATAAAATATAAATACAAAAGTAAATCTAAAGACTTTCTTGTTTCTGCTGATTCTTACTCAAGGCAGCGTATTTTCTCTGGTAGTGTTTGATGACAAGTTCATGTTTGATTGGTTTCATCTGTGACTCCTGAGGAATAGCCTAAATTAGGGATGCTTTCCTCCAGAGGATTTGTATGTATTTGCTTTTTTCTGAACCCATGCTGAGACCATGTTAGCCCCATGTGAGGGTCTTGGCTTGATACTGGAATCTCCCAGGATCAGTCCCCCTACCTGGGTTGGTCCCAAAAGTTAAGTCTCCAGGTATGAACGCTGGTATGAACACGTGCTCCCAGAGTGATCCCACCTTTTTCATTTGCTTGGTATATGTACTGTGCACATTTCATCTGACCATTTCTTAATTTTTGTTTAATTTTATGTTGAATCTTGGAGTTTCTTTTACTTGAGCCAGCAATGCATACTTTTTTATGTGTTGATTACATTGCTGGTAGGTGTTTATATTAGTACAAACCCCAAGGAGTATAATTTGGCAGTATCTACTCAGATTACAAATTCACTTACACATTGATCTAGCAATTCCATTTTTAGGATTTTATCCTACAGATGTACTATTAAAATGTGATATGAAAAGTTTTTCATTGCAGCATTGTTACAGCCAAAGGTTGAAAACAAGTGAATGTCCCATCCGTAGGTTGAAACAATAACAGAAAAAATGCAGAAGGAGGTTTATGTGAAGAAGGTTTGAAAGAATCTATATTGGGATTTGCTTGTCTATGCATTAAAGAAACCTTTGGAAGAAAAGAACAAAGTTAACAGTTACTTGTTGAATTGAGTGGAGCTGAATGGATGGGGGATAGATTTGAGTGGGAGATTTATCACTGTAACTTTTTTTACTTTTAAATATTTGAACCATGTGACTTAATTATTTTTAAATTAAATTCATTAAAAATTCTTTCCACTCTTCCATTAAAAATATAAATTAGTAAATGTTGGGGGTGCTGTGCTGCTCAAGTCGAATGTTTCTTATGGTATATCTAAGATCTAATTACCTTGAGCCCTTTGAAGTATCTAGTCCATGATACTGCCACAAACATGCCATTTGGTCTGGAGAACTTGAAAGTGTATATGGCTTCTTTACTTTATAGGTGAAGAAAACAAAGATAATACTGCTACCACTGGTCTGTTGTACAGTGAAGCTGACAGATGTCCAATATGTCTCAGTTGCCTGTTAGAGAAGGAAATTGGTTTTCCAGAAAGCTGTACTCATGTCTTCTGCTTGACCTGTATTCTTACATGGGCAGAGGTGAGTATGAGAATAAGTATTAAAAATTACAGTATTTTAGTTCCCTAGCATTTTATTCCACCTGAAGAGTTCAGACTGCCTTTCATAAATTATTTCACAGTAATGTTTTTTCCCCCACTTTGGACAGATGTCCCTGTATTGCTCAAATTTTGTCAGTTTATTTCCTTCTAAAATTTTTATGTTCAGCTTTTTGTCTTTTATAATAAAGAAATTTTAAATGCGTATCTTTTTTTTTTAATCTTAGTAACTTTATGGAAGTAACAGATTAAGTATTTTTTCCTGGTGGAAATGCAGTAATTCATCTTTAGTGTACTTAACCCTTTTGAGGTGATACCTGTTTAATGCTAATAATAACACCTTCTCTCTGCTATGTGTTTTTTATTTTTCAGAGAATTTTTATGTAGATTATTTCATTTCTTCTGTATATCAGCCTTGGGAGATAACCAGAACAGATGTAATAGTGTTCTTCCATTTTACAGATGAGGAAACTTGGATTTTGTGTTCTGTAACTTGGCCGAGGTCTCATAGCTTAACAGGCAGAAGTAAATTTACAACTGCATTTTCTAATTCCTGTTTTTAATTTATTATGAACTGATTTCAGAGTTAGAGATTATCGAGGTTCTTCATAGACAGTAAATGATTAAGACACAGGACAATTTGGGACTTCTGATGTATTACGTTGATTCAGTTCAGGCCAAGCAGATCACGGTGCTGTACATTGAATACTCATCATGAGCCCAATTGCTGTGAATTGTGAAATAAAACTTTAATTGTTGTATTGATCATGCTGTATTTTCTGAGCTAATGATTTGTCAGTGTGTAAAAATTAGTAAAGGAGACAAATCTTAAAAATATTTTTAACATTAGCAACATTCAAATTGATGCCTTTTAAGCACATTGGAATTAAACACTTATTGCATAATTGGGGTTTTCAAAGTTCTTTGTTTTACATATTTCATTAATAATGTGGAAAGAACGTAACTATATGCTGACTCTATGGCCGAGTTCTGGGAGGGGGGAAAAAGATTTACTATACCAATTGAATTCATAATAGTATACTTGGAAACAGTTCTAATTATAGATTAAAGCCTAAACCGGTCTTTGGCAAGAAGGGACAAAGGGTAGGTGAAAAAGTATTTTGAGTTTAATTATTTAATGTAATTGTAAATCTCTGTGTTTTTAGGAGTATCGACTAGTGAAATAAGAATGCCTATTTTTCTTTGCCACCCAATTAATGATTTCTTCTGTGTTGAATGTACTGCACCATGGTTTGTTTTGTGATTAAATATTTTAAAAATAGAAGAGATTTTGCTTCCAATAGAGAAGCAGTATTACTGGATGGGTAGAAGTCTTCAATTCAGTGCTTTTTCTAAGACTGTATTTGGTGACCATATAATTATGAGTTTTAGCAACTATAATTTGAGTATATGTTTTTGTCTATGAAGAATAGAATTTATAAAATAGATTTGATTCTCCAGCCTTCGTTACACTCTCCATGCATCTTTGATACAGCCATAAGCTTTATCATGGTGTACAAGTTCAGATTTCTCTAGGGTATGTATCTAGAAGTGGTACTACTAGGTTGTAGTCTGTGTACATATTCAACTACTAGACAGTGCTGAACTTGTCTGTTTTTTAAGTCTTGTTGAATATTTTTAAGTTGAAAATACTTGATAGCATACATAATATTGTGGTCAGCACTTTTCTTGCATGTACTATTTTCCTTCTTTGTGTTACTTTTTAGGATATAAACATTTTGTTGAAGCCAGATTACTTGTAAAAGGAGTACTTACCTGCTGTACAAACATAAACTGTGATGGGCAGTGAGGGAGTTGTGGTATTCTTTAAGCAAAGGTAGTGAACCTCAAAAGCAAAGAGTAGACAGAGTATTCTGAATTATTTCTTTGTCCCAAATCAGGATAGCAGAAATCAGTTAAAGTTGAGAAGTAGCAAAAGCACAATCTCCTAATAAAATGTTCGTCATAAATAATAAATGAATACTGGTTAACGAAATCACTTAGGCTTTGAACTAAATGTTCAGTTTGAATCTTTTATTGGCATGATAAAAAATTAGATATGTCTTGACGTATATAAGCACTCTAACAAGTAGAAGCAGATTTCATTCCACTAGTGTTTTTATTCATGGCCATTAGGTATTAAGATTTTCCTCTCATTTTCTTCAGTCTCTTTCTATTTTTAAAAAAGAGACATGTAATATACTTTGGATTTCAGAGTTAGAAATAATTGTCTATATTCAGACTCTGCTAACCGGCCAGGCCCTGTGCAAAGGCTTTCTTGTGTATTCTTTCATTTAAATCACTGTGTTAATGTTTATTTGATATTCAAAGCAAGGATCCTGAACTTGGATTTGTTTCTAATTACTTCAAGGGATGACCTGAAATTAAAATAACTTTTAAAAGTTGATCCATAGTTTAAAATTTTAGTAATGTTCACTTCTATACTAGGAAGGATGAAATCAAAAGTGAAATTTACAGTGGTTTGAAATCTACATAGTAAGAAAAAAGTGCAAAATGTATTCAGGATCACCTTCCTAGTCTCTGTGTCTTTTAGCAAATCAGGTGAGCTATCTGAGATTTATACTCAGGGTTCACTAAAATATGATTCTGAATAGATATCAAGAGCCAAGAAGAGGGACTTACTTTCACCCTCATATTTTAGGCTTTGAAGAACTTCTCTGTAAGAGACGAGTAAAGTTAAAGTATGTAACAGTCTAGTGTATTTATTTTGGACACAGTCTTGAAATTTCTCATGTTCTTAAAGTATCTATATCCAGAGTCATAATTAGTTTCAATCTCTTGAAGCTTTAAAATTTTGGTTCTGTGGTTACTTAAGATAAAAACCATCTAAGGACTTTAAAGTGATTAAGTAGCAGAATTTAGTCTCTAGATATTTCATAGAATCTACTTTCCCTAGGGCAGAAAGATTCAGGATATTTAATGTGTCCATTCTGACTATATTTAGTTTCAAGGATCTCATAGTAAGCCTGTTGGTTTATAAAATAAAAATGATTATGTAGAAATAGGATATTGATCTAAACAAAAACACTAATTGACACATAAGGAAAGTTATTCTTGTTAATTTAAAGCATTAACATTAGAACTGAGAATCTGGAACTAAATACACTTAAGTTTATCAGCCATTTAGAAAGGTACTTATTTTATCCATACTGTGGGCAAAAATATATTCTGAACATATTGAGAGTGTTTAGTTTACACATAAGTTTAATCTTGAGTGTTTGAGTTTGCGCATTTTAAAGTAGATAATTATGTAAAGGCAAAGAAAATAAGATTTATTACTTGACATGTTGCCAAGAGGTAGTTAAAATTTTGACCCTTAAACACCTAAAGCTTGAGGACTTGGAAACACTTCATGTTTGAAGGAGTTCGGAGTTTTTGCTCTGTTTAAAGGGACCTGTGATATATGTGATTAGGAGGTTCCTTATTGCCACGGGGGTTCTTTCTCTTTTAGGTATGTTAATATTTCCCTTATCTTGTAGGTAATTTTTAATGTGATTAACTTCCCCACTGTAAGCAAATTATCCTCCCTCAACGTATTTCTCTCAGTCCCCCATTTTATATCAAATGCTGACAGCTTCAGTTTGATAAAGTAAGGTTAACGAAATCAAAATCGGACAGTTGGCAAAGGGGTGTTTTCTCTCATGAGGCTAGAAATGAAGAGTCTTACTGTGGTGATGTACAGTTCTTGAAGAACTCAGACAGCAGTGTTCAGTGCAGACAGGCAAGGAATGTATTTTTAAATTAATAATACATACCAAAAAAATCAAAATATGACTAGTTGACTTATTTCTTGAATACTAATGTGTTTTATATACAGATATTCCTTTATGCAGTGAGTAGAAATTTATACATCATTCTGGTGATTTGATTGCTGTTCAGTAACTTAATTCAGCAAAGTATTATTGCCTGGACTTTCCCAACAATTTTTCCTAAAATTTTAATTTTTCCTTATTGCTGAAGTAAACCAAACCTCTCTGTTTTGTGGTACTCTGTGAACAATAATTTCAGCTTATTTGGGAGCACTACTATTAGTCCTTATCTTTGTAATTTGTAAAGCATTGTCAAATACGTTAATTTAATTAATTATTAACAACCTGTGTGGTAGGTGATTCAGGGGTTTCTGTCTTCATCCTTAAAGTGAGTTAGAGAGCTTGCTAGTTCTGACTCCTCCAGAACTTGAATTTGTGACTAATTATTCCAAATCCCCAGTTGTTTTCACTCTGTGGATTAATCCTTTGGTAAAACCTTTGATAGAGCAAAGAATATTTTCATACTGTGAATATTACCTAAAGCATATTTGTAATAGATTTTCATTTAATATTCTTTTTTTTTAACCAGTTGGGTAAATTAATGTATATTTCTTTTTGGCCTAGTTTTAAATGTCAGAATTTGTAAAATGATTTGTATAGATAGTTTATGGGATTTTCTGTTTTTAGGCTAGAAAAAGAGAGTCTTAACTATTAAAAGTTAAAAGAAAAGGAAGATTATAAAGTAATTCTACCCAACTGTTGCAGTGTATCTTTAAAAACATGAAAGCATTCCCTTTGAGTAGTTAGATAAATGCTTTCTTGCTGTTAGTTCTATCACTGACAGCCATTTGTCCTGTAGGGATACATCCCTGAAAGCTGTTATAAGGAATCATAGTTTGACTAATGTGAATTGACAAGTACTATCTTGGAAGAACTGGTTAAATGTGATAGTGTACATGTAGGCCGACCGCAGGTGAGCACTTTCTTCAGAGGTACAGGCTAGGTACCTTGGGAGCATCGACGAGAAAGGATAGGTCCTGGTGAATAGCTTTAAAACAAGCACCAGCCTCTAGTGGTATGCATTCCTGAATTTTGAATTGCAGTTTTATGTAATGTGTTCACTTGTTAGAGAGAGAGACAGATGTTCTAGAGAATCCCGTGAACAGACAAACCTACCTAAAGCGTAGATGCTGAGCTTTAGTCTGTAAGCGCTTACTTTAACACTTCCTTTCTCTCTCTAGGAGGGGCTATCGGTAGGCAGCCTTTGTGATTGAGGATAGAGCAGCAGCAGGAAGCAAGAAATATTAGAAATCAAGAATCCTGAATTCCCAAATAAGGAAGGTTTCCTGTTCTTACATTTAAATGTGGGTTTGTCTGAGCTGGGAATTTACAACGCTCCAGAATACTAGGGTATGTTTTACTGACATCACTAGGAAGATTATTTTTTTTCTATGAAAATTGCCTCCTTAATTTATATAACCTTGTGTAACCTTAGCGCAGAGCATTCACAGTGAAATACATGCTCTGTTTTAAATACACATTACATTGTAAAGTAGTGATCAAATTCTGTTAATTTTGTAGCTATATCACAAAGTTGAATGATGATATTGGATTACTTTGGTTATGATACTAATTAAATTAGATACTTTAAAAATTATTGAAATGAAAGTCATTGTTGCTTTAAATAGATGAGTAATTGATGGGTATTGTTGTATGTAAGGAAACAAAATGGTGAATAACCAAGGGGTATTTATTTTTGTTGTATACAAGGAAAATAAAATTTAGGATAATTTTCTTCAAAACTAAAAGTATATTTTTAAGCAGAATTAAGTATATTCGTTAAAGTTTTTACTTTACTTTTAAATGTGAATTTTTAAGACCACACAACTTAAAAGCTAAATTAATTATTTTAGTGACACAAACTCTGGAAACTAAGATTAAAATACATACCTTTGAGATTTTCTGAGTGGATATTTGCTGGATTATAAGGGTGAAGAATCCTTAGGAATGCCTTAAAATTAGGCCAGTGCAAACCATTTTTAAAAACCTACTTGTTAAAACTTTTCTATTAAAGCTGTTTGATCATCATGTGATATGTAATTTTATTCTTTAGTACCTATTAATAATGGTGTCTTTGAACTTTGGCCTGTGCTTATGAAAAGTAGCCTTATGTTTTTCTTCCAGTATATACATTAATGAAAAAAATTAAAGATCCATTTAATTGTTAAAATCTGTTTTGATTTCTTTTTCATTAAATTCTTCTTTAGTCACTATAAATTTATTGAAGTATGCTGTGAAGGCTTAACTCAGGATAATTGAATTTCTTTTCCATTTCCCCTTTGAAATCCTCTGCTAAACTGTTCTAAGGTCAGAAATGGATATCACTTCTTAATAGCCATAGCAAAATTATTTTGTCTACAGGTAGCTTGTTTTCTGACCTATGCTTTTTTAACTGGGGAGGATAACTTGGCTTTAAGAAATTTTTCTGATGGCTAAGCCTGAGCCAAAGAAAATCTATTAACTTATTTTCTAGTGTTAACTGGATTATCTTTAGGAAATAAAAGTATATACGGATTATCATAATATATAGCAGTGGTTTTTCAACTACAACTTTCCCCCCCTGTTTTCTTTTTGTTTTTGAAATAGCAGTGGAACCCTTTCCTCAGATGAAACCTAAGACAAATCCATGCTTAAGGAAAAAAGAACAAAAGCAAAGTCTTACTCAGAACCCTATTATCTGAAACAGATCAAAATGGAATGGCTCAGGTTAAAAACTCTGTCAGTTTGAAGATGGTAAAGAAAGGAGTGCCATTTAGCTGATGTCAGCAGAGGAGATTTAATAAAGAAGAAGATGAGATTGTGTAATTTGAAAGTTTTTGAAAGATTCAGTGCATCTGATATAGAATAAATTTTTTGAACACAGTGGCTTTCTTTGGATCTTAGTAAGTGTTACAACTTGAAATAGATACAATAACATGAAATACTTTAATTTCCATATGTGTCATGAACTTTGGAAATTCCAACAAAAAGTCATTAAGAACTCATGTCTCTCACATGTATGTATACATCTTATTGTGAGTTATCTTTTTGTTAGTGAACCAATAAGCTTTTTTACTTTTAGTGCAGTGAAGCCAGTTGATGTGTGGAAGAGTTTACACAATACTTAGCATATGCCATTAATTCCTATAATTAAGCTTCAGATTCTTACTGTCTACAGTTTTACAAATGAGATAACTAAGACAAAGAAAGGCTATGTAATTTGCTCAAGGTTATATACACAAGGACAAGTTATGAAAATAGACAGTAAATCCAGAGTCCTTATACATCTATCAATAGTTTTTTTAAAAAATATTGAAGGAAACAAATTTTATTACTGTTTTATCTTTTTAAAGAATGTTTATCTAAATTTACCTTTAAAATAGGAATAAAAATATATTTTAAAATCTTGGTAAAAAATAAATACATGAAAGTTTCCATTTTTTGAATTCTTTTGAATTATAAATGTTGTGTTCATACAACCTCTAGTCTAAGAAATTTCATGTGGTAAATGTTAATGTAAACAATCACATAGTTATGTCGAGTTGTTTGAACTAGAATTGCTATTTGCAAGGCATTAAAAAGATGTGGACAGCTTTGTTGCTACTTGTAGCAAAGCTTCTTAAGGTCAGGTTTTCTGTAGGGAAAGTAGTAGCATCCTAAATCCATAGTACTTGGAAGTAAGCTGAGCTGGCTTCTGCCAGTCTGAACCGATAATATAGTAAGGTCACATTTTCTAATTCAGATATGGTGTAAAGCATTTTTATCAAGGCCTACCTACTTAGGAAAAGAAAAATCACTTTGTAGCAGTGTAGTAAAAAGTAGCTCAATTTGTATTTTGGCTGCTCCCAAAATGACTCACAGGCATTGTGAAAATGTATTATATGATCAAAGGACCACACACAGTCTGTTCTACCTGTACTGGCATAAGCATATCTTGATATGTGCCAGAGTCCAGAAAGCCAAAAATCACATTTTTTCAATAGAGAATATAAGATAATTTATCAAAATTCCATTATTGTCTTGTTTTTAGATTATTTCTATTAAATTATTAGAATCCTGTTTTACTTTTATAACCATAGGTATTAAAACATCACCTTTTGGTATGTTCTTCATAGGCTACAGAACTACCCTAGTAGACAACATATTCTCCTTAAATTACTTAAGTAATATGAACCTGTTCCTGTACAAACATTTAATAGTATTATCCGAGAAACTCTTAATTATAGTTGATGCACGTTAATTGTGAGAGTACAGGAAATACATTTATATCAAGATAAAGTTGATTTAGAGTCACAGAGTGACCAAAGAACAATTTTTCTTAATCTGGAAAGTAAGTCTATGATTCAGTTTGAAAAAGGTCAGCAACCTAATAAAAAAGTTAGGCAAAGGCATTAATAGACAGTTTAAAGAAAATGAACTTTGAAGAGCCCTTAAATATGAAAATATTTTCAACCTTACTCATATAAAGGAAATGTAAATTAAAACTTATGACATACCATGCTGTTAGGAATGGGGTAACTATGAAATAGTAATATAAACTAACCTAAGGTATATAATTAAGAGGAAAAACAAGATTCAGTTCAGCAACTGAATTAATTATACTGTATTTTATATTTAAAGATACACGTATGTGTAAGCACTGAGTATCTCCAAAAGGATATGTAGAAAACTACTTCTGGAGGGGGTACCTACATGGCTCAGGGAGCAGTGGAGGAATCCCTCCTTTTCTTTGTATCTAAAACTTTTTTTATTGCTGGTGCAATTGCATATCCAAAATAATCTGAGGGGATAATATTAAGTCATAGAACAAAAATCTGTAAGAGACCTGTCCAAGCCATTCCTTTTACAGCTCAGGGTCACCCAGGTGCTCACAGAGCTCGTGATTCCAGCCCAGCTTTCCTTTCATTATGCCTGTAGGTCTCAGCGGTGCAGCAGGTCTTAATAGGTATTACATTGATAACAAAGATCTTATCTCTGTTGCTCACTCTGTATTCTACTGATTTAGCAGACAATAAGTGCTCAGGAAATGTTTGAATGAATTTTAAAAATTAAGATATTTATTACTCTGTGGCATGACACAGGTGGAAAGTCTTTCACCTTTATCTTTGAGAGAAGAAAAAAATTGCTTCTCTGTTGTTTCATGTTCTGGTGAAAAACTTACTGTAAATGTGTTTGTTATGGTTTCATTTTGATCTAGTCTAAAGAAACACTTGTAAAGTTATAATTTGTAATCATTTTTCAGACACTGGCTTCATGTCCTATTGACCGAAAACCTTTCCAGGCAGTGTTTAAATTCAGTGCGTTGGAAGGCTGTGTTAAGGTAAGGCTGAGATTTTATTTTGCAAAATGAACTGTCTAAACATAGTTGAGATGATTTGGCTTTAGTAGATTTCCGATTTAAATATTATTTGTGAATTGTTCAACTTTACGCTTAATGCGTTTCATTTCTGTTGAAAAAATGTTCGAATGAAATATTAGATCCAAAGACCAACCCCCACAAAAACTTAAGTTCAAAGTATCTGAAAATTATGTTTTCATGAGAAACATACAATGTTGAAAATTAAACAAAAAAAATTAAATATATTGGTGTCTTTGTTCTTAAATGCTGCTGCTTTAAGGAAAGTGAGTTAAATTGGAGAA